TATTACAACAAGTTTCGACGGAATTCCATTGATTTTCCGTCGAAAATTTTCAACGGAATTCGTTTTCTGTCGAAAACCATTACAACAAGTTTCGACGGAATTCCATTGATTTTTTGTCGAAAATTTTCGACGGTATCCGTTTTTCGTCGAAAACCATTACAACAAGTTTCGACGGAATTTCATTGATTTTCCGTCGAAAACATTAAACCAATTTTCGACGGAATTTCATTGATTTTCTGTCGAAAATTTTCGACGGAATTTTATTGATTATCTGTCGAAAATTTTTGACGGAATTAAAAATTCCGTCGAAAAATTTAGTATCCACCAAGGAAAATTCGACGACCTGAATTTCGTCGAAAAATTCATTTTCGACGGAATTGTCACCGTTATCGACGGAAAAATTCCGTCGAAAAAATGAACTTTTCTAGTAGTGTGATTTATATATTTTTGGAGTGTTGTTTATAATAATTTATGATTGCTTTATATATTTTTGGAGTGTTGTTTATAATAATTCATGATTGAATTATATATTTTAGAATATTGTTTGTAATAATTTATGATTGTTATATATTATTATTATTATTTTGAGAGTTTTACATTTGTGGCTCGTGATGGACCAATCCAATTGATGTGTTGCCTTAATCTCTTGTTTAAAAGAGATTTTTGCCCCTGTTGCCCAATTATATAATATCATTATTTGGATACCAAAAAAAAAAAATATCATTATTCACGGTGAAAGTTTTCTGAACTAAATCATATGGTTTTTGTTCTTCACACTGAAGAGATTTTTCACGTGTGTATTCTCTACTATCCCTATCTCTATTTTCTGATTTCATATTTGTTCACTGACATTTCTATATGTCGGGCTGAAGAACCCAGACTTTTTGATACTGAGCGGTCAAACTATAATTGTCGGGCTCCTGGACTCAATACTTTGTTTTATACCAAAAAAGAAAAAAGAAAAAAGTAAACATCATTTTTAGTCCCTAACAAAAAATACGGTCCTCACTTTAATTCCTTACAAAAATAAATTAGTCAGTTAGTCCCTAACAAATTTAAAGTGGACCCATTTTAGTTCTTTTGAGGGACTAATATGAGTCTTTTTTGAATTTGTGAGGGACCACGATTTCAACTAAATGGGTCCACTTTGAATTTGTTAGGGACTAACTGACTAATTTATTTTTGTAAAGAACTAAAGTGGGGGACCGTATTTTTTGTTAGGGACCAAAAAAAAGTATTTATTCGGAAAAAAAAACCTTAGATACTTTGTATATGTGTCTATATCTCGTGTCCCTCTCAATCAATGATAGACTTTGATCCTTTCAATTAACTTTGTCCAATCGTGTTTCTTTCCATGATTCACTCTGTGTTCTTGATTAATTAAATGAGAGATTTGCGTGCCTCCCTTTTTAATTTTTCGGATCAGTCTATCAATTCTCTTCAAATCATATATTTTTCTTCTTTGCTAATCGAAAGAAAATTGAAAATATCATGTTTGAATCAAATGATATTAAGAGCCTGTTTGGTGTGATGTATAAGGCCTGATAGTATAAGCTTATATTATACGTTATGACATTTTCAGTTGTTTGGTGTGACCATCGTATAGTATAAGCTTATACAGCAGGACCTTTTATATATTAAAATGATGTATAACTTAATCCGGCCTAGGAGTGGTGGATTAGGTCTGATAAGGGATTGATGTATTAATATTGCTTACAAGTACAATTTCCAAGAACTAATATATCATTTTAATATTTATATATTAAAATATTTTTTTTAATATATTAATTTTTAAAATATTTGAGGATATTATCTTTATACAATATCATACCAAAAGTTGGATAGTATTAAAATTTAATCAGGTCTTATACAATCACGTCTTATACTATCAGGTCTTATACTATCCGGCATTATCCTATACTATGCACCAAACATGCCCTAAGAGGATAATGTTACCTAACATTCGCTTCGTGCCTTGTTGTCTATGCTCGTGTCCTTGAGACTTGGATCCTCTCATGTGATAGAGTGGTCATGTGATCATGTTATTTGATTACAATCACTCATTGATGATGATGGCATAAGAGAAAAAAAAATATTCGAACTTTAAATAAATAATTATAATCAAATAACATGAGGACTATTTTTGAGATCCAAATCTTGTCCCCGTTAATGAGTTCTTGAGATGGATATTTAAAAGATTTGGAGCCTTTCAATCAGTTTTCTCGAATTTTGTTCTTTCTCTTGATTTGTTCCACATCCTCTTGATTGATTGAATGAAAGATATTTTCCTTTTTCTTCCCTTGATTTACTCTAGTGCCTCCCTTTTCGTCCGTTGATTATCTTCAAATCACGTATTTGCCTTCTTTGTTCATTTGAAGAAAATTGGGGGAAAAACATATTTGAATCAAATCAATATTAAGAGCATAAATTTACCTAATGTGCCTTGACGTTTATGTCTGGTGTCCCTCTCAATCAATGCTTGACTTGGATATTTAAAGGATAAAGTCCTTCAATTAATATTCTCGAACTGTACCCTTTCTCTTGATTCGTTCCATGTGCTATTGATTGATTGGAATGAGAGATTTTTTCCTTCTTTTTTCTTTTTTTTTTTTTGTCCCCTTGATCTCTCTTGTGCCTTTTTTTTTTTTCCATTGCAAGATCGCTTCGTCAATTCTCTTCAAATCATGTATTTTCATTTTTTTCCTCATTGAAAGAAAATTTTAAAAAATCATATAAAATCAAATCAATCTTAAGAGTAGAAACTTGCCTGATTCATCCACCATCTAATTATTCACCTTAACTTTTGCTATTGATCAAAAGAGAAATAAAAATTGTTGCACTTTTAAATCAAATCAAATTAAAAAAAGAAGAAGTTTAAGTGATTGATTATCCTCCCATAAGTTTTCTCCCTTGATTCTTCCTCCGATTGAAAATCGTAAACAACAATAACATAGAGGCTTTTTTGATCACTATAGTCTTTTTTTAATAATTAATTATCAAATTGACCCTATTTATAAATTATTTCAAAAATTTAACCTATCCAGAAAACATAACACCAATCTGCCCCTGTTTGACCGTTGACCATGAAGCCTACCCGGGTACACCCCTACCTACCCGGGTATATTTTGATATTTTTTACCTACCCGGATACACCCCTCCCTACCCGGGTATATTTCTTGAATCTGGAAAAATATTTAAATTATTTACCCGGGTAGGAAGGGGTGTACCCGGGTAAATAATCAGGGTCAACATAGGGTAGCTGTTGGCACCAGAATCTCAGCAAGATAAAATGAACAACAGCAAACAGATCACAGTTATAAGAAATGCACCAAAACAAATGATATTAGTGGCTAGCTAGATGAGGACAATATAATCCTCAATCTGCAGAGATAATTCAGCAATTACAATGACAGCACCAAGATAACCGATTCTAATGAAATATCCTTTCTCACTCAGCAAGGCCATCGGGTCCACTAACAGCAGGTTCAACAATGGCAGGTCCATCAGTGGCGAATGGACAATCTAGTCATTTAAACACATAGCAGCCCTTCTTATTTACAAAAAGAAAAGACCCTTTGCAGAAAGCCAGATTATTTACAAACAGTGCCAGGTTATTTACCCGGGTACACCCTTTCTTACCTGGGTAAATAATTCAAATATTTTTTCAGATTCAAGAAATATACCCGGGTAGGAAGGGGTGTATCCGGGTAGGTAAAAAATTTCAAAATATACTCGGGTAGGTAGGGGTGTACCCGGGTAGGTTTCATGGTCAACGGTCAAACAGGGGCAGATTGGTGTTATGTTTTCTAGAGAGGTTAAATTTTTGAAATAGTTTATAAATAGGGTCAAGGTGGTAATTAATTATTAAAAAAAGACTATAATGGTCAAAAAGTCATAACATAGAGAATGCATAAATTGTGGCTACGCCTTTGACGAAATTTTATTTGACAACGACTTTATAAATTTTCTTGATCTCAATAAGATAGTTTTTGAAAAATAAAAAGGGTTTATATTTCTGTAACTGCTGTATGTGCAGCAATCAAATACTTATCATATATATACTTGAAAGCATTAAATTCGGGGAATCGTAATCGTTCAAAGGATGAAAACATTAAATGTGGAGAATCATAACCATACATATGTCGTTGCTGTACATAAAACAGCTGCAGAAATAATTTTACCAAAATAAAAAAGGATTGACCATTTTATGACCTGTTTTATATTTCAAAAATAAAAATAAAAAAATAATCAAGTTGACAAAAGCTACCAAAAAAGAAAGTCTCCTCTTCCTAATAACAGGTGGTGCTAATAAAAGGCTGTGTTATAAAACACCCCATGCTTGGTTTACAATGATTCACCTGTTGACATTGTAACTCCTGCATATTTTCTTTCCCCCTTCTTTCTTTTTCTCTCTCATGGTGGACATTACTTGCTCTTTCCCATTAACTCCATTCGTTACCTTTGCAAAGCATACAATTCAATTATCACATTCATTCACCTGTTGACATCGTCACTCTTTCATCTTCTCTTCCCCCTTCTTTCTTTTTTCCTTTTTTTTTTTCTCTCATGGTGGACATTACATGTGCGGTTTGCTTAAACCCCATTCGTTGCCTTTCCAAAGCATACAAATCAATTATCAAAAAATGGTTTCGCCGTAAGAAATTATCATCCTCAAGCCAAGGTAACCCACAATGCGCTCACCAGGTAGGTTTTATAAACACTCATATATATCCCTCATTTTTCATGTAATATGTTTCTAATTTGGTTCATCAAATTGGCTATGCTATTATAAAAAATGGTTATTCAGTTTAGTAGAGATCATTGTCAATCTGTTAACAAAAATCTGATTTTTTAAATCAATAGAGCTCTCAAAATATTCCCATTGATTTTTTTTTTTTCTCCGAAGCACGTGGGTAGGTAATGAAAATGTAATAAAAGTCCTTATCACCTGGTCTTTGTTTCTTCAGAAACCTGTTGTAGATGAAAAATCGGGCACAACCATGAATGGGATTCGCAGCTCTAGATTGAATGGTGATGCTTTGAGAGGCAATGATAGAAAGAGTTCGAGAAGAAGTTCACACAGGCGTAGAAGTTTAGATGATTCGTGTTTTCCTTCTCTTGCTTCTGTGTCTAGAAAGCCAAGTAAAAAGATTAATCACAACCCAAGCAAGAGCTGCGACAGCTTTGGTTTTATGAATACCCCTTCATCTTTGAATAGCATGAGCGGCAGTGTCAGAATGCATCCTCATCTGCATTCAAGAAATGGCAGCCGTAGGAATAGCACTACAATCATGTATTCTAATTCATCTGGGGTGCTAAAACCCCCACCAATTGAGAAATATCTTGAATGCACCCTTGAAGAGTTGTGCTATGGATGCAAGAAAGAGATCAAGATCACAAGGGATGTCTTCACAGATACCAGGTTTGTATCCATTCCATCCTTTGATTGATTAGTGTTCCTCCTTCTTTCTACTTTTTACACTAGAATATATATTTTAAATCGGGGTGTAATTTAACATGAGAAAAAGGCCAAAGACAGGAGAAGTTGTAAAGCTGCTCTTTTATCGAATCCAAAAAATAGCCTCTTTACAAATCTGTAAGGGGTAAGATTACGTATAAGTATTGACTTCATCCTTACTCTCGTTATTGGGGATTTCACGGGGAATGGTGGTATAATTTAACCTGTGAAGGAGAGATATACAGGATTTGAGCGACTGATTATTTGGAAAATGCTTTATGTTTATGAATATGTTTGCTATTTGTGCCATACAGGGAAATAGTTCAAGAGGAGGAACTGCTAACGATAAATGTAGAGCCTGGATGGAAGAAAGGAACAACGGTTACATTTGAAGGAAAAGGGAATGAGAGAATTTGTGGATACAGAGAAGATATAATATTTTTCATCTCTGAGAAAACACACCAATTATTTAGAAGAGAAGGGGATGATTTGGAATTAGGTGTTGAAATTCCTTTACTAGAGGCACTAACTGGCGGTACAATACCAATCCCACTATTGGGTGGAGAGGAGATGAGTTTGATAGTGGACGATATCATATACCCTGGCTATGAGAAGATTATCACTGGCCAAGGTATGCCAATCTCCAGAGAACCAGGGAAGAGAGGAAACTTGATAATTACATTTCTAGTTGAGTTTCCAACACAACTCACAAATTATCAACGATCTGAGGTTGTTGCTCTTTTACAGGATTCTGTTGATTAAAGGTTCTTTAGATCCCCAATACTTTTTTTTGGTATTAAATAGATTAAATTTCTCAACCTTTGGAGCACCCTAATATGTTTTTCACTATGTTCTGCTCACAACATTTGTTACAATCACTATATGCGTTAGTGGAGATATTTCTACATAAGTCCCAAAAGCAAAATAATGCTTTGTAGTTGACGGAAGTAAAATGTTAGAATGGAAACTATAGTATCGACTTAATAGGTAGGTTAAAAAATACTTGCATTTGTAATCTTGGCAGAGTATTCACAGAAAATTATATAATAGAAATACACTATTATAATCTCTAAATAGAAACCAACTCTTCATTAGAGCTACTTTGTTTGCAAGTACAAAAATTCCAGAGGATGGTATCTGAAAATCCCATGCTAGGCTATTCAGCGTCTTAGATAAAGCTATCATCCTCTTTGGTAACCGTGTTTCAAAACTACAGGTTTAATACGACAGTTTATCAGGAAAGGAGAAGCACTAATAAAACACAAAACTCAGCAGTGGAATAAGAGCCTCCGTGGTCAAGAGGTATTAGCATGGTCTCTCATTGGGCAGAACAACATCACAAGACATCATAAAATAATCATACTATAACAAATAGTAATAATTTATTTACGTTCTCAAGCACAAGCCCCGCATATTGAGTATTTGTTTTTAAAAATATCCAATTGCACATTAAAATACAAGAAAGACATAATGAAAGATACATCAATAGCAGTCAGATTTTAAAACAAATTAAGCATAAGAACTTCCAAAAAGAGCACGAATTATACTAAGAATACCACCACCAACGATAGCCTTCATCAACCTCATCTTTGTATTCGTGTATGGTGGGTACCTTATTGATGCATCAATTAAACCGCGATAAAGAACTGCTTTTTTGTGTGTAAAAGCATCAAAGGAGAATTTCCCATGGTATGCACCCATTCCACTCTCCCCAACTCCCCCAAATGGCAAAGTATGGACGGCGAGCTGCACCAAGAAATGGGGAAAACAGAGGTAAAGAATCTTGATTTCAAATTAAATCAAAACAGAAATTAGGAATATTGAATAACAAGGCCATATATGCATGCACCTATAGATGGAGAAAAAAAAAATTGTTTATTTTAATTTTTCTTTCTAAAAAAAAATATTACATGTAAGAGAGTGTCATTGACAAGCACACCCCCAGCAGAAACCTTCATTACAAACTGCTCCTTAAGCTTCTTATTGGTTGTAAACAAATATGCAGCGAGGGGCTTTGTTCCTGAGTTTATCACATCGAAGCTTTCTTCCAGTTTATTGACCTGTTCCAAGCAAGAAATAAAGTATTATAATTGATCTTCCATTGCTTTAAAATAGAAAGAAGCAGAAGAACTTTATTGATGAGCACTTTTCAAATTATAAACAGCTGTTTCCACGTCAGTTTAACATTTCTACAAAAGGACTAGCACTAGCAGCTATTAATTTACAAGGTGAGAATTGATTTTTGACTCCTACCCCACCTGAGCAAACACATATCAATTACCCTTGCAGCTTGAAAACATGTTGAAAAACCATGTGCATATTTTTCATAATAGATTAGATTATTTGGAAAAGCAACCAAAAAAGACAAATGAAATTTGAAGAAATATCATACAAACAGTTCTTCATATGCCTTAATTCCTACCGTGACGATGGGAAGCAATGGACCAAATATCTCGTCACTCATTACCAGAGAATCTGTCGGAACATCCAATAAAATAGTAGGAGCAATCCTCCTGCAATTTTTTGGTACAATAGAAATGCCAGTGTCAAGATCAATTACATTTGACTAAATAAAAACTTCACCTATAAATTTAAAAGTAAAAAGCAGAATGAGAGCTTACAATTTGCTTTCATCCTTTTCACCTCCATAAACAATCTTCCCTGAAACCTTATCATCCTCCAAGAGCTTTGTCAAGCGAGCAAAGTGGTTGGAATTCACAATGCGAGACATATCTTCTGATTCCAACGGGTTCTTTCCAAAAAACTTCTCCAATTCAGTCTTTAGGGTGTCCACCTACAAATAGGAGGCACCAAACACTAAATAAACAAAGACATAGATTCAGAACTCACATATGGAAAATATCATACCAACTTGGGAGCATGGTCTTTTGTTGTTATAATATAATCTGGAGAAACGCAGGCTTGTCCACTGTTAGTACCCCACTTGCCTGCAATTATCCGTCTAGTTGCTACCTTGTAAATACAAATAAATCATGTGTCAAGAATTTGACGAAGGAGGATATAAAAAACCAATTCAACTCAAAAGTTTAAATTATCAGGTAAAGGATAACAAATACTTGGGATAAATAAATAAAAAAGGCTTAGGCAATACCTGTATATTGATATTTGAATCAACAACAGCTGGAGATTTTCCTCCAAGCTCCAGACCAACTGGTGTAAGGTGTTTTGCTGCAGCAGCCATCACTATGCGTCCCACTCTTCCACTACCTAATAATTCAGGAATTACTTATGCTAGAAAATTTGTATATAACTTGACTGAGACAATTAATTTTACTCATTTACTATTTTCTTGTTCAAATTATTTCATTTATTTAGTTATTTGAAAAAATAGGAACAGTGGCCAAAGTGTCATTGTCGAAAAAAAACACCAAAATGCTACGCCAACGGTAAATTTTGTCAAAATGTCACGTGACATATTTTCCTACACTGTGTAGCTAAATATGTGTGTAAATAATTCGCTACACGGTGTAGCGAAATATGCCACGTCAGAACCAAAAATGCCACGTGTCAGACAGGGAGAATTTCGCTACACTGTTTTTGATTCTGTGCATTCTGACGCGGCATATTTCGCTACACCGTGTAGCGAAATATACCACGTGGTATTTTGACAAAATCTACTGTTGGCGTGGCATTTTGGTATTTTTTTTTGCCAACAGTGACAAAATGATCACTGTTCCGAAAAAGTATATCAAGATTCACACGAATATAATATACATAAAGCAGACCAATTGTAAGGAAAATTTTATCTATTAGAAAACCAGAATTAGGACACACCAAAAAAAAAAAACCTGTAAAGAAAATTTTGTCCCACTTTTGCTGCAATAGTGCCGAGGTTTCATCAATTGCCCCCTCGACAACTTTTATAGATGAATTATCCATGTACTTCCCTAACAATTTTGCCAGCAGTGACGATGAAGCAGGAGCAATTTCTGATGGTTTAAGAACCACAGCATTACCAGCTGCTATAGCTCCAATGACTGGATCAAGAGACAACACTGGAAAGACAAACAGAGAAGGTAATATTATCTTCATTATAGATTTTTAAAGAAAGGGTTTGAGGAAATAAAAAGGCTGAAAATGTCAAAAACATATAAACAAGGTCAACTAAATATTAACATACAAAATGGATAGTTCCATGGAGATATGACTAACACAACACCCAGCGGTTCAGGTACTATTTCAGCTGAAGAAGGAAAAGTTGTGGTTGAAGTTTTAACCTGAATTAAAAAGAACTTCATGTGATAAATCAAATAAAACCATGAGTAACATTATTGATCAATTTCCTTCAAGCGGAAAAAAAAATACCTTTTCTGGCATCATCCAATGTTTCAATTCCTTCAGTGTGACTTCACATGAGTTTTTAAGTATACCAATCTACATCAGTTACGAGTGAAAGGAAAATATCATATTTAACACAGTTCTATTGATTGCACAAGACTTGTCGATAGCCTAACATAAGCAATAGTAAGCAAATTAGGTTTTTGTTCCACATTTTCAGCTTCATGTCCTTATCAAAAAAGCTCAAAATTACAAAATATGTTTGTTTAGTTGCAAATATTACAATTCTGAAGTCAATGTATAATATATAAACTTTTCAGCATCCCCACTAACTAAATACTATGAATAATACAAGTTCGAAAGGTTGAAAAAAAAATGTGATTTCCCAGGTGGTGTGGGAAACAGTAAGTACTACAAATGGTCAATTCATACTCGCTCAGTAATTGATAATTGAATATCCAGGACACCTAGTTGCACATCATCAAAGATCACCGTGAATACACAGAGATAACAAGCAAGAAAAATCCTCTAAACTTCAATAACATGCAGCATTATGTGGAACAAGTTAGGCACCGCATGCTGAGCAGGAGCATAAACTTTATTAACATTTTATCCCAATTTTTTTTATTTTTTTGGTAACTCTTTATCCCAAATTAATTAGAAGAAAATATTTGTCCTCTTAAAGTATATACTTTTGTGTTATTTTAGATCCTTAATTTCCGTCAATCAATTATTATAATTTATTAATTAATTAATAAGTTTGACCCAATAAATTATAACTGTTGATTCACAGAAATTAACGATTATAATTTAAAATGACACAAAATTATATCTTTTAAAATGATAAATATTTTTCCAATTAATTATGTCTACAATGAACTTACATAACTAAGATTTTTTTAAAAATATAACTAATAAATAAAAAATATATATAATAAAATCAAATAAATAAACAAAGAAAATTTAGAAAATTAATCTTTTTTTTCATAGAGAGAAAATGAAAGAGAGAGGAAGAAGAAGAAAAAAACAAAAAAGAATTAATATAGAAAGTCTACCCATTCACATTACTAAGTATGAGATATGTTGCATGCCAATATATTTCTCACTCCATTATATCTTATTTTATCATTTTTTCCGAATAAATTTTGGCTTACAGCAGCCTAAATCCTATGAGCCAAAAAATTTCAGATAAAAGAAATAACCAACTCAATATGAATAAAATGAAAATTATTATTGAAATTTTGAGAGTTTTAACTATTGCCTGCCAATGCACTTTGTACTTCTTATGAACCTCAGTGTGATAGCTGTGCTTGGTAGAGTTAAGTGGAAAGTGGGAAGGTGGAGAACAGAGGATAGATAGAAAATGATTTTCAACGAAGAGTGAAAATGAAATACATTTCATTTGAACATTTCCACCTTCTCATGTTTTTTTTTTTTAATACAATGGTAAGAATTGAACATATAACATAATACAAATTATCTAAATCTCTCACCACTAGACCTATCCTAATGGCTTATGTTATGGACTCATATAAGAGATTCATATTTTAGAAGCCCAAAAAAAAGCACTTCAAAGTGAAAATTATGAAAAATAAAGGAAAACATCAATCAAGGATGTTAATCCTAATACGACGGCAACAAAACAAACCTAAACATGGCCCTCAAAAAAGCCACTCAAGATCCAAAATTTTATTACTCACAAGTAAACCCAATAAATAAGAAATAAAGCAAGCATGTATAACCACTCTCTCTATTAATGTTATGTGATCAATGTGCATACACATCACTTCTTTAGCTAACTCATAGATATATAACAGAGCCTTTAGATCTAATATCAACTATGAAGCACCGACACTCCAAAAATCCTGACGTGTCGTGTCCGACACTTCCCGACACTCCCCGACACTTCAACACGCGTTATAGAAATTCAAAAAAAAGTTCAAAGGTTTCATTGTGTTGAGTTTTTAGTTCTAACTATTAGATTCGTTGGATTACAATTACCATTTTATTGAGTTTAATATAAATATTTGGGATATCTTATGTTTCTTTGCAAAATTGATGCATATTATAAGTTTAGTTTCATTTTTTTGTTAAATTATTGAATATTAAATATAATATACACTACATAAATTAAGATTATTATTTAATATCAAAACGTGTTCTAACGTGTCAAAATCTAACATTTTTTAGAATTAACGTGTCAGAGTGTCATATCGTATCGTGTCACGTGTCTCGTATCAGTATCAGTGCTACATAGAATATCAACATACTAATCTTTGACTAAACGTCTCTGTCCCTAATACGGAACACGTTTTTGTTAAATTGGGTTTCCTTTCAAATTTTCCACTTTCACATGGCATATAAAGAAAGAATTGTCCTTGACCTTAAGGCATTTCAATTAGTTATCTAACCAACCGTTAACCAATCAATACATATTGTAAACTAATAATGACTCAACAATTAATAGGTGTAGATCAAATTACAAATTTAGGGGAGGAAAAAAAAATGTTTTCCTTTATATAAACACACCTCAAGTATCTAAGTAATTTTATTTTATTTGCCTATATCCATTCCTTTTTTTAATCTGAAACTAGGTTTCAAAATGTCTTTGTAAATATCCATACCCCCACCCCAGTTTCGAACTTGACTTTCGATTTTTCAATCGTAAAGCTATCAACAGAATCAAACATGTACAGAAAGAACAATCACATCATTGTTTTTTCCTCCGTAAAAGTTGAACACACAACGCAATAAACAAATTGGGCAATAGCTATATACTAAAAAAAAAAAAATTGGGCAATAGCTCATCTAGAATAGAAGCATTAATTGTGTGGTCCTGGACCACATGCTTCCAGCTTCCTTAGTTAAATGGGGTAAAATGTGAAAACAGGTAAAAAAGCAGGGGCAAAATGGAAAAGTCATATGAAAGTGAGACAAAATTTTAATATGATCCCTCACCATATTAAAATTTTCCCTGGAATAATGTCAGAGGCGGTCCCAAGGGAGAGGCTAGGGTTGGCCATCGCCCCTCCCTGATTTTTAGAAATTATTTTTTTACTATATATATATATATATATATATATATTTATATAATTTTGGGTTGAAAAAAATTATGTAATTAGACTGAAAATTTCAAAAAAACTTAAACAAACACAATTTTAAAAATGGAAATTGTAGTTTTTTTCAAAGGAAGGAGCAAACTTTTAGGGCTCAAGAAAAAATTTTAAAATCAGGCACACTTGATTATCAAGAGGGTGGCGAAAATCATTATCAAAGAAGACAACAGCAAAACACACAAATAGGGATTCCAATTTTTTGAACTAAATATTGGGGAAGGAAAATAGCCTGTATCCATTGTCGAATACCAGACTTCAAAATTGAATGGAAAACCAATTTCTTAATGATTCTTTGATTACATATGTTGAAAAAGAAATTGTTTTGAATTTTAGCACATATTCAATTATAGAAGAGTTTAATAATATAAAAAAATGTAGAGCGAGAGTTAAGTGAATTGACCTTAAATTTTATAATAAAACTCTTTCAAACTTAATACATAAGACAATATTATCTCATGTAACACAAGAAAAGCATTGCCCTTAAACTAATACTGTTTTGTTACATAAATATAATATAAAATCATTGAAAACTTATCACTTAAATGGTTAGGTGAGATTGGTGATTTCTCATGGTGTCGGAAACTTCGTGACCAATCTTGTGTGACATTGAAGTCGCATCACTTACTATATCTTTTAACATGTTTCATTTTTTTTTATTGGAATTTATCTCTTTGTATCAATCCAAAAGCTCGTTTGGTGAACAAGATAGGATAATGGTAGGATATGATATGTGACTGATAAGTCTGTATAATGTCTTGTGTTTGATGAGCACCTAATTAGCAATCTGACAAGATTATGTGTAGAAAGAGAAAGGAGAAAGAAAAAAGAAAATATAATGTAATAAATACAAAAATATTGAGTAGCGTTAGAGTATATTGGGTAGCGTGGGGATATATTGGGTATCCAATATTGATATCCTATCATGTTGAATCATAATCCAGCTTCCCCATAGGATAAGAAATCATATATTGGATAGGATATAAGATGAGACAATATGATAAGTTAATCATATCCTATTAACCCACCAAAAAACAAAAGATAAAAGTAAGATATGATAACTTATTCCTTCAAAGAGTAGAGAACGACAACGCAACCATTAGAGCAAAGTAAGTAAAAAACAGAAAACAGAAAAAAGATTGGCGCCAAATAAACCTCGTAGACGACGGTTTCGAATGGGGGCCTGGCGAGGTCGGAAAGTAGAGCATCAACGATCTGGTCCTCGTGATCAACGAGGAACTTCAAAAGAGCCTTCACTTGCGAGACTCTCCACTCGTGACTTCGCGTCCTACCAGAAGCGAAGCTGCCCCTAAGCTCCTTCACTAGCAACGACGCCGTTTCAGCGTCGAACACTTTCTTCCCTAACTCCAGATCCGACATTATTATTTTCTGCGAGAAGAAAGGAAACAAAAGACCTAGAATCACAGGAAGATAAAGAAAAAGAACAAGACCAACGATGACAGGAAATTTCGTGAGTTGAATTGGATGGTGTCGAAATTCGAGCATGGGTGGGGATTATAATTTATAGCAAATACTCCGTCGTAATGAGTTGAGTGTGTCACGATAAGGAAAATAGAGAGTTTGTTATTCACGGCTCACGCCATGTGAAGGATGGCTTGCGACTTCGACGCTGGCCGAATCCAACTGCATTATTGTCGGTCGATTCCGTGTTTGGTTTGGGAAGTTCTTGCTCCAGAATGGGACCATATATACCACTTTCATTTTGTTTGCAATTCTAAATTTGAAACGTCTACATAAATCACAATATTGCTTTTCTTAAAATAAAATAAACTCAGACAAGGAAATAAAACAATGAAGAAGAGCTTCTATCCTGGCAGCTCATCCCATCTGTTAGGCTCTGAACACAGTACGGGAGTGACAATGACCTAAGTCCAACTAAGATGGTTGGGAGAATGTGATCTTGCAGCAAATAATGAGTATTTTTTTTTTCTAAATACAAAAATTCTTTTATTTATATCATGATTAGTATGTAAAAAATATTGTATTGTATATTTAATCAAAATATAAAATTGGAAAAATTTTATAAATGCCCCTGACGTTAATTTCTATTATAATAAAAAATGTCTTTAACATTTAAAACATGCATACCTCTATCAACTTCAAATAATATTAAATTGTAATTATTTTACCCTCCAATATTATCCAAAAAAAAACAAAGTAGTATAATTTGAATTTTACTTAGTTTTTCCTCCAAATGTTACGATTCCTTTCTGCAGCAATTTTTACATTCATTTTCCCTCCCCCGATAATTGATACTCTCTTCACGTTCTGCATGCATGGAGAGTGGAGAAATATTTCCTTGGTTAATCATACATAGTAGTTTGCTTATTGGGTTGGATTAATAATACAAAGAAATGTTGGTATGGCTCATACTTCGCATGCTGATGAGGGCCTTAATTATTGGGGTCAGCAGAAAGGCAACTGAGGTTCCGCTCCCAGGTGAGCGGACGGGGGTCCGGGGGCAGCGCTCTCAGGCCCGTAGAGGCTAGGTACTGTTGTGGACCTCTGTTTTATTGTAATTTTCTTAAGTAGTTTGGGCATAGCCCCATGAATAGCTGTTGTTAGAATTTTGTAATCCTATTTATATTTGTCTTGTAAACCGAGAGACTTGTAACGAGTGGCGGTGAGGTACAGACAAGCTGGACGTAGCCTATATTGGATGAACCAAGGTAAATCGTTGTGTCTAATCTCTCTACTCTTATCTTTTTTTTTGTTTTCTCGATTCTGTGTGATTGTCGATTTCCAACATACTCCAAATATCTTTCATTGATTAATCGTGAATATAGTTCGCTTATTTGATTTGGTATAATTTTTTTTTGGAAGGAGGCCTGATTGCTCAAGCTTTTAATAGTTGATTTTGAACTGACAAATAACTAGAGGGAAAAATAATCCTAATATGATAAAATTTACCGTGTTATTTAAAATTAAAAGCTAAGTATATAGTATTTTGAACGTCAGGGATATTATTGATTAAAAAAATTAAGAGCATAATTTATTCTTAAGAAAACATTAAGGATATTCATAAAGTTTTCCTGTAAAATTTTATATATCTTTAATAAATTACAATTGAAGTGAACCTACTTCTGACGACTCTATGCTAAAATATGCCTAATTTTATATAAGACAAATTTAACGGATTAAGAACGTTTTTGGGCTGAACATAGGTAGTATTAATTCTCCGCGTCAATATCCTCTTAGCCTCACGTCTCAACGTCGCGATTCAATATAGAATAAGGGGTATTTGGTAGGAAGAAAAAAATGGCGGAAAATAGGGTAGGAAAAATACATGCCCATGTTTGGTAGGAGGAAGAGTTAAAATTTAAAAGGGGTCTGGAAAAAAAAATTCCCGTCTAATTTTTTTACACATGGACCATCCTCTGAATTTTGCCATGGATGGAATGGAAAAAAAAATTCCTTCGCGGTGGTAAAATTCAAACATAACATCAATAAAATTCATTTGATTTTTCTGGAAAAATTTTGGCCTATCAAATACTTTTTTTAACTTACCTGGCAAAAAATTATTCCCATCATATTCTGAACAAATTTTTTTTTGGTAAAAAAAAATTTCTCCGGTACCAAACGCCCCCTAAGAAAAAAACCCAAAAGATCCCGAGATCTCTAGACTTCTTGATTAAATGCTCAACTGAATAAATATATACGTGCCAATTTTGAAATAATCTTAGGTGTGGATCTATGTTATGTAGGAAGATTCTAGGTGTTTTTTTTATCCTTTTGCCTTTTATTAAATAAAAATAATAATTTTGCCTCTCACTCAATATATTCCACCAATCTGCCTCTCCTTAATCGATTAAACATGGGCCACAATCGTTTAAGTAGTGCAAAAATGTGTTTGACTATTGACCCAATATTTAATCGATTAAATAATGTCAAAAACCCTTTATTTATATCTCTCGGTCTCATTTCACTTAGGGTGTGTTTGGTACAAGAGAAATTTTTGAGTGTCCGAGAATCATGATTTCCAGTAATATATGAGAAATGGAGTTTACTGGGAATGGTATAAAAAAGTTGTTTGGTAGACGTAAATATTACTGAAAATATTGAATAATTTTACTGAGTATATGTTTGGTTGATCGTAAAATATTACTGGTAATATATGATGAACTTACGAAACTAACCTTTAACTCTTCAAAACAACTTAATTCAACGGCTGATGTTGGAAACGTCAATTTGCTGAGGGGGGTATTTTTGTCTCACAATTTTCTTTTCTGCTTTCCCTAATGTTGGAAACGTCAATTACCATATGTTTTTTGGTAATCTGAAATTTTAGTTTTCTTTGTAAATTAGAATACTAGTAAACGAAGGTATCCTGGAAAATGGTGTTGTTAACTTGTACCAAACATGGCAATTCACCTTTACCAATGTAGATTTATCAGTAATCTTCAAAAATACTTGTACCAAACACACCCTTATACCCAATTTTTACACAAAAATCTCTCTCGCTTCTCATCTCTAAACCAACCTATTAAGAGGCTATTTCATCTCACTATCTCTAAAGCCTTAATCTTGTGAAATCATTGTCATTACACTTACACATTCCATTTTTTTGGTAAAATCTGAACCTTAGTCCCAATTTCGTGTGAAAGATTAGCTCAAATTCAAACATTTATGTTACATTTATCTACCATAATGGGAGGCATTCTGAAGGTCCCTATGGTGTCCAATTTGAAATAGAAACGCAAATGATGTAAATCAAATGGGGCACTACATACAACGAGCTCAAGGAGAGAATTCACCAAAAATCAGGGCTATAAGATAGCCAATGCATTCATCGGTTGATAGCCAGGGTAGAGACTATAATTTGTATTGATTTTGTATATTACATTATTCTTGTGTACTGCCATACACCAGCATTATTCTTTTAAATCTTGCACTGCTTCAATAGGTGTTGTCTGAACTTGGCATTATTGTTAGTATTTGGGTGTCCTAGAGACAATCTTATGATTAAATAACGACATAGATGTAGACCTTTTTAATATTGTCGCAAATAAATAAAAGCACTCTTTATCTTGTTTCATAATTCTATCTCGGTATTAATGTTAATATATTATGAATAACTTGATAAACCCCGTGAAATCACTACAAAAAAATAGGTTATTAGTGGAGGTTATTTAGTGTAGGTCAAGAAAACCTCCACTAATTAATATAATTTGTGGCAGGTTTTAAGCCTCCATAATTTTTTGTTATGTTTTTCTATTTTATATTGTTTTATATATATTTTATTTTGTAATACATTGCTAGAATGTGGCGACCACGATTCAGACAAAATAAGGCTAAGTTAAATTTTTTTTTTCTCAAATGTCACTCACTCTTTCATTTTTTTTATGTGCCTCCTCTTTCTCTTTTCTCTGTATTTCTGGCATCCACCACCATGATGAAGAAGAGCAGATCTCGCCGGCGAGAACACTCTGATCTTCAAGCTCTGAGGAGACCGTCGTCTTCAAGCTCTGTATTTCTTTCTTTCTCTCAAATTCTTTTTGTTTTTAATTTAAATTATTTTGGTGATTTTCTTGGCTAAAATTTGGGGGTTTTTTGTTTGATTCGTTTGTAACAAAGCCAGTATATATCGGTTATACAAAGAGGTAACCAATGAAGAAGCGAGGTGCAGCACAATGAAGTTCATGGAGGTTTGAGGTAGGGTGTTAGTTGTGTTCGTACAATTAATTGAGGATTTTGATTTTATAGCTATAAGCTATGGTTTGCTGTTCATCTATGTGATGTGTGATTGTCTGATAAAGGTTCAATTTTATACATAAATTGTAGTTTAAATTCATTTGAATCAAATTGGAAGAGAAATTTAAGTGATGATATGGTAGAACCATAACCGATTTTAAACCCTAGAATTTCAATACATAGAACCCAAGCAAGAATCCAAGCACTTGTTCACAATTCCCAATTCAGAATGCCATTGTTTTAATTAATATTACCTTGAGTGCGCACGTTTGGGAGAGACGGGAATGAAGTGAGAGAGTGAAATGAGACTACGAGTCCACGCTTTTTTGGATACAGAGAATGGAATATACCAAAAAAATTTATTAAAAGTTATATAATAGTTAATTGGCAAATGTTTTAAGGATTAATATTTCTTATATTTTCTAAATATACATAAAAGTATATGGTTTCCATGTTTTTTTTTTCCTCTCTTATATTCACATGGCTCCACTTGGACTCCACATATTTTTATTTGTGTGTAGGAGATAATTTTATTTTTTATAAAAAATATTAATCCCAATGTTTTAAAAGTATGCACTAAAAAAAATAAAAATTCTATACTTGTCCATGCTCACCACGAAGGTACCTGATCTATTTAGATGGTGAGATGAGATTTGTTTTTCACAATGGTGAAGTCTCTAAATATAATAGTGAAAGTACAGCTAAGGGAAGGATAAGATATCCTTCAAAGCTAAGCCATGAAAATTTTAACATGCATCAAGCCTGTCTGGTCTCTCTTTTGTCTCCCTTTAAAACTTTCTCCCTCAATGTTCCATCTCTTCTTTTCTCAAATCCATTCAATCATCTCTTCTCTCTCTAAAACTTTCTTCTCCATTTTCTCTTTGTTTCACTATGTCCACCCCTCACTCTTTGGTATATCAATTTCTCTGCAACTCAGTTTTTGAAATCAGTTTTGCTGTCAACGGTTAGGGTTCCTCAAATTTGTGACAAGTTGGAACCATTTAGAAAAGAAACCGCAGATGAAGAAGGAAAGTTTGTGCTCTTTCCTGAAGAGGTACTACTTTGTGCTCTTACTAAATTATAGAAAAACAGAGTAAAAACCGCAGAGTAAATTATAGAAACCGCAAATTGAGTCGTGGCATGTAAAGTTGTCAAGCAGCTACATGGGGGAAGAGAACTATCGAAGGAACAAATTAGAAGAGCTTCGCTTGTCTAAATTAAATAATACTGAGGTTCTATATTCTTTCCTTCATAGCAATCCTAATCTGAAAAGCCTATCATTGATTCATTGCTTCTTTAAAGAGATGGTGCCTCTCAAGTAAACCAGAGATCTTGGATTGTCACTATGTTTTCTTTTTCTCATTTTGCACAGGGAGGTGAGCATGGAGTTGTTTTAACATTGACATTGAATGACATGGGAAACTATGGGTGTTATCCAGATTGTGCAGAGGCGATGTCAATGCCATTATATACTGAGGTTATGGTTAATTTAATTGGATTGAATATGACTTTTAATTTATAATTACATTGAAGCGTATTGTTAGCTAAGCATGATATTTTGCTTTTGGTCGTAACCCTTGGTTTTTGATGTTAAAGTAGAGTGACTGTTCCAATTCTTTATGCATCTCTTTCTCATATGTTGTGTGGGTTCAAATCATCTAGTAATTTTGGCTAGTTAAATTTTTGGGCAATCTGTATTTTTTGTAGAGGTTCGTCCTGCTCCTCACATGGACAAATTGGTCAGCATCTACAAAAGCATGGCAGTTGCTTCGGGAATTAGTATGTTTGTCACTTAGAATGATCCTGCTACCAAATTATCAGGTGATTAGGTCGGGCCTTTTAATTTGATATATATCAATATTGAAATGTATCTCTATTCCCAAGACTATCTCTCAATTTTTTGTTCTTGTTTTTTGCAACCTGCCATTTTTAAAGCTTTTATTTTATGTTATTATGACTAGTATTTATTTAATTATTAATTTTGATTAGAATGGGCCAAAGAACTGACTTGGTTTTAAATAAATTTCTTCCAAAAAAGAGATTTGTCAACTGTATATAGGTTAATTAGAATTAATTTAATTCCTTATTTCTGATCATAGTATATGTACTACTATTGATGTTGCGTTGTCACTAATACATGCAAATCATGTTTTAGTTTGTCATCTGTTAATCACATACTGCCTTTTTTTTTTGTTCTTCTTTTACTTAGATTTGCATGCTTAGCTCTATAAGTTTATATGTTCCTTGCTTACAATCGAGAAACCTACTAGACTGAATGGGTTCATTTATACTTTACTAACACTTAAATTATCTTACAGATAGAGAGAAACAATGTGAAGGTGATGCTGACTCTGGTAAGAAGGAAGCTGGTGGAACTCATAAAAATCATGCACAAGAGAAAAAAAGTTTAAAGAGAAAGAAGTCAAGGAAGAAGATTAATACCAGCATGAAAAACTCGGGTTCTCATTTTGCAAAACCTTCTTTTCCAGCAAAGAAAAGGGTTCAGGTGCCACAAAATCTTCTTTCAAAAACTTATTAGGCCAAAATTTTTAAAACATTAACATTTCCTTTTAGATTTGTTACTGTATCGTAACTATGTTCTTTGCTTCTCTTCTTCTCAATAAATAAAAAATAATACTGATTCTTCTGGTGAATTGAAACTGCTTAAAATAGAAATGACCCAAATGAAGAAGTATTGAACTTGGAAACTGAATCCCAATAATTTTGTATGGTTGCTATTTTATTTTCTTTATTGATTTTATTTGCATAGCAAAAATATGCAGGAGCTCATTGCCAAGAAACAAGAGAAAAATGAAATTAGTCTGCAGGTGAATGTTGAATAATTTATTAATTGAATGGTTTGCTTCCTCTTATAGCACTTCTTGATGTTTTGTGTTGAGTTTCAATGGCAGCAGACTCACAAGGAATTTGTTAAGTGGAAAGCTATGACTGAATGTCGCCTTACTGAAAGCATGGCTTCTTTGAATGGTGTGCAGGTATTAAAGCAGTATACTGCCACCATTTTTTCATCCTTTAAGATTTAATGGGATTCAAGTTATGTTGAATGTGTTTTCTTTTAAATAATTAATTTGTCCACTTATGTGATCTCTGGCTTACTATAGTTTTTTTATATTGACAGGGCAAGTATGGCGAATTTATGATTTGGAAAACTAGAGTTGAGGAACAACTGGTGGAAATAACAAATAAATTGAGTGATCTCCAAGCATCAAGGGAATGCACCGCTTTTAGTCCTCCTTCAGAAAGATGGAAAGATTGGATAGAAAGCACCAACCTAGACAATATTCAGGAAGATGAATTTGCTATGTCAAAATGCTTGATGCTTGATGTGCAAGCTTGACCTTCGATTATTTTGCTCAATGGATAAAATCTCCTACTTGTTTTTGAAGGAGTTGCTTTGTATGTCAATGAAAATTCAGTGCATGATCTATTCATTTTGATTCAAAATTATCTTAAAGTGAAACTAAACTTGTTGGTGCAGTTTAATGAGTTTTCTTGAAATACTCCCTTGCCTCCATTGGTTGCTAAAGCTGATCAATGGTCAGCTCTTAGCCTTGCATTTTTTTGGAATGTAATTAATTAAAATGTAATGAAAGTGCTAAGAAGTCATTTTGTTGAAGGTGCAAAATAATATAAAAATATGGAAAATAATAAGCTAATACTAATGTGGAACCACTGAAACGGGTGGATAAACTGTCATTAACTCTACTTAAGTCATATATGTTAGTCTGCCAAAATGATAAAAAAAAAATTGTGGCAGTCTATGACCTCTAGGAAGTTATAAATGTTGTGGAGATCTATAAGTGACATTTGTGGGGGTTCAGAACCTCTAGAAAATTATATAACATTTGTGAGGGTCTTAAGCCTCCAGAAAGTGTAGTATTTGTGGGGGTCTCGAACTTCCAGAAAATACTTCAACAAATTGTGGCACTGCACAAAAAACCCCCCCACAAACTATGTTGTGGCGAAGGCAGAACTGGGGGTCTGGGTGAATGCCACAAATATCTTTTGTGGGGGTCAAAGACCTCCACAATATGAAAATATGACCTCCACAAAATGCCTTAATTTTTGTAGTGAATAAAATAGGTATCTCTTGAGTATCCGTGATGAGATCACAATCATGAGGATTCAAGAATACCGGATGTTTATTCCTAATTTTATGTTCCTAGTCTAGAGATACTGAGAATGGGGTCAGTAATCTTGGGTAAGACTAGCACGACTTATCTACTTGTATATGGATACAAGGTATAGACTTCATGTGCTACAGATATGGAGATGTCTTAGCTAAGGTCGTGGGTGGACCTATAAGGGTATAGCTCGCACTGAACAGACCCACAAAGAGACTCTATGAGGAACTCTCACAGAGAGTATCATTAGAGTAGTCTCTTTATATTTGGGTATGTCTTTCCTAAGACCAGAAGTTATTACCTAGACTGTGTTCTAGAAGGCATGCTTTGATTGTGCACCTCGTCTGCCTGAAACATGGAGACTCATAGGTATACTGTTGGGCTTGTCCTGAAAGAACACAGCGCTAGGGTGATAAGCTGAAGGAATTCGTCAAATCTCTGTGAGAGATTAGGTTATCTGTAAACCGGAGAAATCGGGATGACATTTACAGGGACTCGGGAATCTATGCATAGTAAAAGAGATCATGAGATGATCTGCCTTTAGAGTCTGTAAATTGAAGATTCCCTATTTCGAATAAAGCTTACCCTAAACCGCAGGGGTTGATACGCTTCCTTACCCTAGATTTTATGGGAAGGTAACCGAGACGAAAGAAAATATATACAGCAACCAAATATGTGCAATAGGATGATCAAGTCACTAATCTAACTAGTTCTGGGGCAGCAAAGCATTGCTAGTGCTCTGTGTTGTCATTAGATGGGTTGTGGGCTTATTGGGCCCAAGCCCATTTATGTCAGTGGCTATGTTGGACCTAATGGGTCACACACTAACACCTAATTGTCTAGATGCTCTAGCATTAATGGTATTGGGCCTAACAATTGTTATTAGCCCAAGAAGTAGTTTGGAACTCCACAGATAGGGTGGAGGGCGCATGGATCTAAGTAATGGGCTTGGATAGTACAAGACATTACTAATTAATTTAATTAGTTAAATTAATTATCAAATGTTTAAATTTTGAATTTTGAATTTGAAATTTGAAATTTAAATTTTGAATTTTGAATTTGAATTTTGAATTTTGAATTTTGAATTTTGAATTTTGAAATTTGAATTTTGAAATTTGAATTTTGAATTTGAATTTTGAAATTTGAATTTTGAATTTTGAAATTTGAATTTGAATTTAGAATTTGAATTTGAATTTAAAATTTAAGTGTTTGAAAGTTTGAATTCAAATGTTTGAAATTCGAATTTGAATTGGCTATGAAAAGTTGTTTCATAACAAAAAGATAAGATGAGATCTTGTTGGAACATATCAAGAGGAAATCTTTTGGACATAATCTAAGAAGATTTGGGGTGCTGATTTGGCTGTTGGTTAGTCATAAGAATCAGCTCCAGAAGATACGATTTGTTGGGAGAATATTTGAGTGATTTGATTCAAGTTTGAATGCAACTACTCAAATGTATCTGGTCATTATTTAGGCTATATGGGGCGCACCATATAACTGATTATATGATGATTTATGATCAGATATTTGATTAGGTTTTGAACCTAATATATCATAAAGATATGATAGGATGTTGTTGGCAAGATTTGATGAAATTTGATTTGCAACAATCCTATTCTCTCTCTCTTTGATGGAGCGCCCTTTTGGAAGGGATTTTTATTGATTAAAAATCTGATTTGTTTTTAACAAATAGGCTCCTCTTGTGCGCCTCTATATATATGTTCCTTCTAGGGCTTTTAGAAAACCAACCAAGTCATTCTCTTCTCCTCTCCTGCACCACTTTTGTGAAGTTTTCACATTGAAAGCTTCACTCTTTCAAACACTTTTACCTAGCCTTTCTCTTCACACAGTGTGCGCTTAGCAAGCCTTATTGTAGTGATCACTTGGCGGTTTCACAAGAAGGAGTTCCTGTATCTAGACGCGGGTGGTGTGGATCAACGTTAGAGGGTCTGAACCCTTCAGACCTACCTTGATCATCTTGAGTTTTCACGAACAAGGTATGACATACGTCTTAAAGTATGTATCTTGACATGCATGTGTATTCCGCTTGCGAATTTTTTTTTGTTTTTCCCTCTCACATGCTACAGCCTTCAAGGCCAATTCGAACTTTCAATTATAGCATTTGAGCGTTTTCATACGCTCAGTCTGCAAAGGAACATCAAAATACTCTAATATCTTCTGAACCAGGAAGGCAAATGGAAGATGGCCCTTATGCTTAACCTTATACATCATGCAGCAAATAAAGTGCCTCTAATTCACCTGTACACCGTGACAGATAGCCCACATGATAGGAATGTCACCCTCCAACACCCTCAAATGATTGAAAGCTTGCGGGAACACAATGTGGGTGATGACATAGTGCAAGATACGGGTATCAACACTGAGCAAACCCACAGTATAAATAGCATTATGCCCACGCCTGCTATCAGACCTCTTGGTCTCCGCCACATCATTATCCCGCACAAATCCAAGATTGACAGCGTTGTTATCCCCATCATACAGCACGGTCGCCTGACTGTTAAAGCCGTACCCTAATAACTCCATCCATATTGTAGCCATCATGAGAATTTCCTTTCCGCAAACACAAGACCTTATCACACCATCTATATAGCTGAGATTATGGTAGAAGACCCTCACCATAACCTTTGAATGCGGAAACAACATCTCAGCCAGTTGTCTCAGATGTGACGCCTCCAACTGAGCCACTATGTGAAATCCCTCCGACATAAAAAAGTCTGTATCCAATGACTTTGGCTGACAAAGGGGTCTGGTAACAAAATCACGCATAAACCGTGCATGCTCCGAGGGGGAATCATCAAACAAATAGCCGAATGGGAGGTCCACAGGCTCAGGCTCAAGCTCAGTGGCCCTGAAGAAGAAGGATGGTCCTGGCATTACTTCGTCCAGCTTTCTCCATCGGCTTTCCTACCAGATCATCTGCGGGCTACCATAATAAGGGAAGGAAACCTACAATAAATAAACATAATCGGAAAAAAATAAATAAAAAATCAGAAGTGAAATTTGAAGGGGAAAAATTACAAAACCTATGAAACCTAAACCCTAAACCATGTATATTCATCAAAACCTAAACTAAACATGCATCAAATCGAAGAATCAATGCAAAAAAGAAAGTCAATTGAATCAAACCATTATATTTCAAACTAGGGTTCATGAATCAAAAAAAAAATCGAACAAAAATTGTAAAAATCGAATAATACATACCAATATATGAGAGTGAGTACACTTTAATGTTTTCTTCTGAACCCATCACACGATTTTGGGGGGAAATCATGAAGGAGAAGGTTTTGGGTCTTTGTAATCGATTAGGGTACGATTTATAACTCCCACCCACAAATATGGGTTTTAAAAAAAGTTTCTGACGTTATTTAATCGATTAAACATTGTGACTTAATCGATTAAATATCGGGTTAAAGGTCAAACACGTTTTTGCACTGCTTAATCGATTACAACCCATGATTTAATCGATTAAGGAGGGGCAGATTAGTGGAATGTATTGGGTGATGGGCAAAATTGTTATTTTTTATTTAATGAAGGTCAAAAAGCCGAAGATTCTAACTATACAAGAATAAATCAACAATGATAAGAAAAGAGAAAAAAATATTAAAATAGTAAATTTATAATCATGAATGTTAATTTATTCATTAACGGTTAAGTGTTGAATTTCAAAGGTTTATTATTAAAATACTCGGTTTTGTCTAAAAAAAAAAAACTGTTTATAATATTTAATTTATTGCTTTTCTTTTGTGTAATGAATATGATGTTCAAGACACATCATTATGATTGAGAGGTCATGTTAAAAATATTTTTTGAAAAACAAAGAAGACAAAAAAATAGCCCCCAAACCTTCAAAGCACCGACACGCTTGTTGAAGAAAAATTCACGCTCGGACACGCGGTCAACATTTGGGGCACGCAGTCAATTCTCCGACACGTTTTTCCGACACGCGGTCAACGCTCGGACATAAAATAAATAATTTATAAATTAATTTTTTTCTGTTATGAAATTTGACTTGAAAAATTAACAAAGTACGAAAAATTATTTATATTTATATTTATATTATGAAATTTAAATATTTGATTGGTTATATGACTTATTATGGACTCTTATATGTATTAAATATAAATTATATTATATATATTAAAAATTTTATTTAATATCAAAACGTGTCCCAACGTGTCAAAATATGACATTTTTAAAATTAACGTGTCGACATATCGTGCCATGTCTCATATCCCGTGCCCGTGTCCGTACATCATAGCCCCGGCTACCCT